TGAGACAGTATTTCAGCTATTAATAAATTACAAGAAAGCCTACGATTCAGTTAGGAAGAAAGCATTATACAATATTCCGATAGAGTTTGGTGTACCCGTGAAACTAGTTAGGCTGATTAAGATTTGTTTAAACAAAACATATAGTAAAGCCTGTATAAGTAAACATCTGTCTGATAATTTTCCCATCCAGAATGGTCTAAAGCAAGAAGGTCCTTTATTGCCACAGCTTTTCAACTTTGCTTTAGAATATGCCATTAGGATGGTCCAGGAAAACCAGTTGGGACTCAAGTTAATTGGGACACATCAACTGTTGGTCTGTGCTGATGACGTGAATCTACTGGGTGATAATATACAAATACCATAATAAATACCAATAAATACCATAAGGTAAAACATACAAACTTTAATTGAGCTGGTAAGGAGGTTGGTCTAGAAGTAAACACAGAGAAAACTAAGTATATGTTGCTGTCTTGTCACTGGAATGCAGGGCAAAGTCATGACATAAAGATAGCTGACTGATGTTTTGAAAATGTGGCACAGTTAACACATTGAGGACTGGTCGCATGATATCATGCTTTTGGCTTTTAAACATGGTGGACCGGTCACATGATATCATGATTTTGGGACCCGTTAGTTTGTAACACACTGTACCTTGCTCTGGCGCCACCCAAGTTGGACGCAATGGCATAACAAAACTCTGGAATGTTTGCCTACTTGTCAGTAATTTGATCTTGCTGTTTTCTTAAGCCACTATAAACGAAAATGCTTTGCTGCTCTTCGAGCTGTATGTATCAGTCAGTAGTTAGGGGTGGAGAATGGACAATGACAAATTCTTCTCTGATGAGCCAGCTGACCTGCCTTGTGAGACCCATAGTTATGGTGATTGAGAGAGTGGCAGTGACAGGGGAGAACAAAGAATTGTGGCCACAGACAGTAAAAATGACAGTAGCTCCGATGATAATGGGGGTAATAACATTGCGGGGACAGTAAAAAGTCTAAAAAAATCACAAAAATCTAAACCCTGATTTGAAATTGAAATACAAAGCATTTCTGATGAATGTGGCAAAGGTCTGGGCTACAGACCAGATGGTGGCGGCAGAACCAGAGTCAGATACAGACTTAGTGCAACCGGGCCCATCAACTCCCACCCCACGCAGGCCTCATGTAAACCCCCCAGGGTGACTCTCGGGTGATATGCGGAAACATGCCCTCGTGAAAATTGTGAAGAGTGAACATTCCAAGGGGAAGCATCCTTCTAGGCAATGCCATGTTTGCACAGTTCACAAAAAAAGGAGTATGACTGTCTACATTTGCAAGTTCTGTGTAATGCACTTCACAAAGGGGAATGTTTCCAGAAATATCACACCCTCAAGCATTTCTAGCATTTCTAACAAAGTTAGAATTCTATGGAATAAGAGGAATATTCCTCAAACTAATGAAATCTTACTTGGAAGGTAGACACCAAAAAGTGGTCCTAGATAATAATTCCCCTGAGGCAAGTTCAAATTGGGGAGAAATAAAGCACGGTGTCCCCCAGGGTTCAATACTTGGACCATTGCTTTTCTTGCTTTATGTGAATGACTTACCAAAGATAGGTAATAATAAGGCTGAAATGGTTCTTTATGCGGATGATACTAGTATAATTGTGAA